CCCTGCCCCACAGCCAGTGCCAGCTCCCCTCCCACCAATCTCCCCAGCACCAGCCTGCCCCACCCCGCAGCCAATGCCATCTCCCCTCCCCCCAAATCTACCCCCCACATCACTCACGTGCCCAACGCTGGCACCTCCCCCACCCGCCTGCACCACCCCCAACGCTTTCTTCCCCCCGTCTCTCCCAGGCCCCGGTGCGGTCCCGTACCGATGTGGCAGTTGTGCACCCAGATTCGATGCCCATCGTATTTGCAGTTGCACTTCATGGCGTTGTTGGTGAAGTCGCTCTCGGCCACCTCGTAGTTGGGGTTAATCACCACCTGCCAAGGGCACCACCCAGGGCTGAGGGACTGCCGGGCCCCCACACCCGTGTGCCCCTTCGCCATCCCCCCCCCAGGCCAGGGCTCTGTGTGCCCCCGTGTCCCTCTCTGGCTAGAATGGCAGCAGCCCCAGTTCTTGCCCCATGCTGAGGTTTCGTCAGCCTGGATTTTAAACACATGGTTAAGAAGTTGGTGATTTAAATGCTAATTCCCTGGATGACATGAGTCGTCCCCCCCACCACACACACACATTCACAGGCAGGGCCATAGCAGCTCGCCCAGCTATGCACAAAGCCCCTGGCCTGAGAAAGCTCCACCTGGTACACACCCAGGGGCACAGGGCGCTGGGCCCACGTTCCCCACAGGGCCAGGCTCTGCACAGCCTCCCCCAAGTACAGAGCCCAGCTCCAGGCCTCTGGGCTGCTGGCCACGCCCCGGGGATCCCTCCCTGACAGCCTGTGACAGCTACATCGCAGGGACACTGACCCTGGCAGCCCAAGGTGGGGAGAGTGGGAGACAAAACTGTCCTGGAGGCCAGGCCTGGACTGTGGAATTCACTGCCACAGGAGAGGAGACCATGGCCCCATCCTGCCCCAAACTAAATTTAACCTCAGCTCTAGGACAGCACCTACCAATAAACTCATCCATCCGAGACTGGCCCGTCCCAGCCCAGACACCACCCCTCCCCTCACACCAGGTGCACATCCGACCCCACTCACGCACACAGCCACTCCACACGCACCACACACACACACAGGAAAGCAAGCTCTGAAGGGCTAGGAAGTGGGAGGCAGAGAAGAGGCGCCGGCGGCTGGGGCTCTGAGTACCCGGCAGCTGCCCACGCACACATGGGGAGGGCGCAGCAGTCTCTGCCCTCACATACCTGCAGGATGTAGTTGCCGGGCCGGACGTCGGTGATGTCGATCCACTGGCAATCGATGTCGTGCCTGTACAGGTCCCAGCAGCCCACGGTGATGCCCTGCTCTCCGAAGTTAGCGCACTCATACCGCTTGGCCACGTCTGGAACGGGGGGTGAGGTCACTTACCATGGCTCTCCCTCTGCCCCACAGCAAGCCCAGCCTGAGGCAGGCAGCAACTCCCCACGGGGCAGCCCCAGAGGGAGGAAAGATCAGTGGGCAGAGACACCCTCCCCCCGGGCTCTCCCCTCGCTTCCAGCATGACTCATGGCAGTGCCAAGCCGCTGCACCCACCTTCCTGGCACTCCGTGTCCTCCAGGCAGAAGCTGGCCTTGTGGCCCTCGGCCACCTTGGTGCCGTTGGGGGTCAGGAGGTCGTAGTGGGTGAAGATGTCCATGCTGTGATAGTGCCTGGGAAGAGAGACAAACCGAAGGCGCTGCACCCACAGACACACAGTGGGTGGGGCGAGAGACAGGGGATCCCAGAGATGTGCTGCAGCCGGGGTGGGGGGGAAGCCCAGAGACACACACAGGGGGTGGGGTGCGAGCCGGGGGGACGCCTGGGAGGATGGAGAACGGCCCAGAGACATGCATGGGGCGGCGTATTGGGAACATCCTGGGGACATGGCCCTGGGGAAGGGGCAGCCCGGAGAGAGGCATAGAGTGGAAAGCGGGACATGTGTCTGTCTGTCCCAGAGAGGCACTGGGAGGCAGCCCAGCCACATACCCCCAGAGGGGCCCCAGTCATACTCCCGGGCGCTTTCTCATGCAGCCCTACACAGACCCCGGGCCCACAGCGACTCCCGCTCCAGCACCTGCTGCAATTGCATTGTCATGCAGAACGAGGGGGAGCAAGGAAAAGCCCCCAGAACGGGCGCTCACAGGGGACCCTGCTCCCCCCACGTTAATGCTCACAGCCCCACTGCATCCCCATGCGAGTTCTGTGCCACTGGAGCCACAGATCCCCCTGCCTCAGAGCACCCATAGCCTGCCCTACAGCAGCCACCCCCAGGGCTCCCCCCTCCCATCTCCAAGCCAGCCCCCCCCGTCCCCCCCCGACCCTTCCCCTGAGAGCTGCCCTGCCAGCTGGGAGCCCCCCCAGAGCAGGACTGAACTCCATGGAGCAAACAGGAGACTCGCCATGGCTTGGACAGGACGACCCAGGCACCAGCTGCCCCGCAAGGCCTGGAGCCAGGACTTCCTGGGGCTGCTGTGAGGTCAAGGGGTCATGCGGTGGCAAGCGCTACCCTCACTTCCACCTCCTTCAGTGACTGCAAGGCTCCCCCCCACCCCCTCCCCATCCTGAGACACCGGCTGGCCCAGAGACCGGGCATGGGGGGGCCCAGCCCCAGGACTGCCACTCCCACAGCCCCGCAGGACCTCACCCTGGGGCAGACCAGGCAGTGACTGAGCAGCTGGCCAGCAGCCCACGGGCAAGATACCAGCATGGCCCGCCACGGTCTCCACAGGCGTGGCACCC